AATTCCAAGACGGCACAGTGATGCCTAGCAGCAGCACTGCCTGGGGACTCTTTCAAAGAAGGCACTTATGAAAAATGGCCTTTTGATAGATATCAGTGTAGTAAATTTTTCTTTCCTTTTGCCTCATTTAAAATCCTTGCTACACTGCTCTGGGTATGTACCCTTCATTACTAGGTCACTTCTTACCTTCATGCCTGTAATTGGAGAGTAATGATGCCATAATGGGCTCACAATGTCAGTGAGGTGCGAGCTGAATCAAAATCAGTATATTAGCCTCACCAAATTAAATCTGAATTTGCAGAAGGATATTCAAGGGATACAGATGTAAAACAGAGCTAAGTTATCTCCCCCACCCCAAAAGCGTGACAAAGGAAACTGAGTCTCATCGTAAGCACATCAAATATTCTCTGTCCAAAATGAGATTTCTTTAACCCTGGGAAAGGAGCTTTTTGAACCACACAGCATGTACTGGTTCTGCCTTGCAACTTCCATGTTCAATTTCTACACTTAAAAAATAATCAAAGCAGGAGATGAAACATTAGCAACTGCTCCATGACATTGAGATGGATAAGTACAGAGACTCTCTGCCACACTGACCTCAGAACACACGTTAGCCTGGAGAAGGGGAGGCTCAGGGGACACCTCATCACTCTCTACAAGACAGGAGGTCGTAGCCAGCTGGGGGTTGGTCTCCCCTCCCAGGCAGCGATCAGTTAGACAAGAGGGCATGGTCTTCAGCTCTGCCAGGGGAGGTTTAGGTCAGATATTAGGAAGAAACTCTTTACAGAGGGGGTAATCAGGCATTGGAATGGGCTGCCCAGGGAGGGGGTGGATTCTCTGTCCCTGGAGGTGTTTAAGGACAGACTGGATGTGGCATCAGTGCCATGGGCTGGGAACCACGGCGGGGTTGGATCAAGGGTTGGACTGGATGATCTCGGAGGTCTTTTCCAACCCGGTTGATCCTGTGATTACAGGTGTTTATCAGTGTGCACATCTGCAACAGGAGAAGGACAAACTCCAGAACTTCGTGCCCACACCTAACAAGGAACACAAGAATACTTCTCAAAGCCCAATCAAAATTGTATTAAACTTACTTGCACTTGACACCAGCAAAACAGAACAATGCCCTAAGCAGCCTGTAAAATACAGTGTCCATTCAGCCACACAGACAGGCTCTGAAGCAAATGGAAGGGGCTGGACCTGGAGCTTACAGAGAGGGGACTGTGCTCAGAGGCCAGTTCTCTGCATGCAAGTTATTTCAATCTCTACAATCACCATTTAATTTTTTTAAAAGCCTAGAATTTGCTTCAGCTAACACTAGCAATGTAGAAATAACGTGATGCCTTAAGTCTCCAGTTCAGTTTTATGACAGGTCTGTAAAGCAGGTACCTCAACAATTCATCTCTTTTCCCTTATCATGTTTATGTGAATGTCTCTGAATCCTACTGCTCTGAGAGTTATTGAATTAAATTTCAGTCTATTTTCATTTGTTTGTCAGAGGTTCACTCAGCTATAAGTGCAACACTAGCTTACAGACAGATACCCCATACTTCCTACATGAAAATTACAGTATCATTGTTTACTTATCCTGGATTATTCAAAGTCCTCATTTCAACTGTGCAAGCACTGCACAAAAGAAGTACAGTGTGGGCAAATATATAGCTCTGTTTTGATTTGTTTAGTCTTTCCCTTTTTCGCCTCAAAAGTCCACAGAAAATTATTAGTTTGTTTCTTCAGTTGCAACAATTAATAATTCATTTTTCAGACAGTGATTTTTAAGGGATCAAAGACAAGGCCAAAACATTGTACAAAAAGACACTAAAATAATTTCAAATAAAATTAATTATTCAAAAATGTAACTAAAACTCTTCCACAGTGCCTGAATCTGCAATAGTAAGTCACATAACTAGCCAGAAAGACCACATGAATCAATATGACCACCCTTTAACAGCTCTGCCAGTATAAAGGATGGCTGATGGCCGATTTAAATAAGTTTCTTTCCAACACAAAACATTCATTTTGTTTGAACTACAATTATTTTAACATAGGACTCAACACTGCTAAATCAAAGTCAGTAGGAATTGCACCATTGATTACAGGGATAGAGCATCAAAATGGTTATCCCAGGCTCCAGGTCAGAAAGCAGCACACCTCTAGAAGCAGTTGTGGTATCTCAGAAATCACAACACTACTAACAATTGCTACAGTAAATTTTAATTAACGCATTTTCCTCTTGTAGTTTCCTCAACACATGACATTTTTTCACTCATAACCTGCAGCTTTCCTTTCCCAAAAAGCTTATGCTTTAAATAAACACATCCAGAACAGAGGTAGCAAAACAAAAGCTTTTGTCACTGTTAAGTCCTAGAAAATTATTTGCCTGCACATGCCAGAAAGCTCTACCCTATCTTACTCTTACTCAGTTTTGGGGTACTGAATTGAGTGGGGGTTGCTGTATAGCTTGTTTCTTTTCTTTTTTAAGTGTTATTACTGCCCTCACAGCATTCTAAGATCGTCATGCCTAGCTACAGAGACCAGATTTTCAACAGATCAGTTCAGTTAGGCACAAAATCAAAATGGACAAATCTTCACAAGAGCTCAGAACAGTCAGTACTAACCTCTTTTGAACATCTGCCCCAATTATAGATGCCAAGTACTTGAAAACCTGGCTCCAAGCTCTTAAAAATCCATTTTCATATGCTCAAAACCCATACTACAGCCAACAAAGGGACTCCTGACACTGGTTTTCTACCAGGGGAGAAGCGAGACAAGAGGTAACCTAGAACAGAGAGTAAATCTACTGAATAAATGCACTTCAAATGACAAAGCTTACTACTACTACGTTTAGTGGCACAGTCCAGTTTTGGGTGTAGCTCCTTTTTTATTTATATATTAGCCTGTCTGAGCCAGAACTGAACACCCTTGCTTTTCCATTTCCTCACTGGTGTCAGCCTGAGGTGTTGCTAGAGACAGCAGACAAGGGCCAGAACAATGAGCTGGCCGAAAGAAAGTGTAACTATCCCTCACACCTTCCTCTTCCTGTAACCAAATCAGGTTCAATGTACGTGAATTAACTGAGTTTACAAACCTGGGGGGAAAAAGACAAAACCAGAATATTCATCCAACTGTAAATTTATACAGCTGTGAAAGAGAACATAACCATTTGCTATTTCAGTGGGCTAGAATGTTATCACTTAGCTTTAACACACACTCCAGGAATCACTTCCTAAAAGAAACTGTTGTGCAAAATGAGATTGAATTATACATTTTGAAGCTTTCACACCTTTGAACTTTCATATAAAATATGAAATAACAAGGCCAAAATTCTGCCCTCAGCACAATTCTTTGTCCTGAAGATATGAATAAAAGTTGTTCTTTTATTGGAGTTTCTTTGAGAATATTTGAATTTGCAGTACAATAGTTGTTCACACTTCTATGTTAAAATATAAAACTGAAATGACAGTTTTGGCCAATTCATACAGTTATTACACTAGAAAGTCAGTTTCCATTAGTTCCCTGAACTGCCATACAGAAAAAGTAGAATCATCACTTATTTTTTGCTGTGATCAGACCTATATGGAGAAGTCTCCAAGCATTTGTTAAGGAACTCTTGCCTCTAAAACATGTGCATGACATCTAATGAAGAAGTGTTTGGCTTTTTACTTCTACCACCTGTCCTGATAATTGAAACATGCTATTTTCTTAACACAAACTATATTTACGGCAGTTTCAAATACAGACTTCTCAAAGAGGCAATGTTAATTCTAGCTTATCTAAACACAGATAGTTCTTATGAGAAAACAAAAACATCAGGGACTTAATGTAAAAACCTTCTAATACCCTAGCGTATAATTACATTATTCATTAGCAAGTGACTTCAAGTGGGTGTAATTTAATGTTTACTTCCTGTCCCTTGAGCAAACACAACACAGAATAGCTAATCAATTTGATCCCAAGATTCTAAAGTCTCAATAAAATCTGGTAGAGCTCACCCCAGGCTGCCCTCGAGGATCAAGAGTGCTTATCCAACTTACAGGTTCACTCCCTTAAGGGGGAGGATGGCAGATCCACGTGCCTCCTGCGCTGTCAGCATTTCTCGGTAAATTCAACGGAAAGAAATTGTCCTGCAAGACTTACTTATCACTTGCTGTTGCCTTTGCCTAATTCCGTGTTTTGTGGGCTGGGCTGGTCCCTGTGAGGTGCCCTGAAAAGGGGCACACGCACCCCGAGCCTCACCTCGCACCTCCCTGCAACACAACCTGGCACAGGCCGCTGGCTCTGACCTCAGCCTGGGACCGTCCGGGTGAGGAGCTGCACACTGGCAAACAAAAAAACCCAAAAGACAAAGCCTATTAAAACAACGCTTATTTAGAAACAAATTATTTAATGAAACATTTAATTACTTAATAAAGCTTCTGCCATTCAAACACCTTTTTTGCTCCATGCTGCCCAGCAGGGTTAATTCCCAACGGCAACACTGGAGAAAGCGCCCTGAGGCCTTTCTAAGGAAACCCCCCCCCCGAGGAGTGAGGTGACCCACGGAGCTCTACAGGCAGAAATCCCGTGGCACCGCCCGCGCCTCCCGCTCACCGGCCCGTCTCAGCTGCCGCTCTCTCTGGGCTGGTCCGGCCCTTTCCCTGCCCGTCCCTCTCTCCCGTGCGGTCCCACGGCCGAGGTGCTCTCTGTGGGCTGCTCCGGCCCTTTCCCTGCCCGTCCCTCTCTCCCGTGCGGTCCCACGGCCGAGGTGCTCTCTGTGGGCTGCTCCGGCCCTTTCCCTGCCCGTCCCTCTCTCCCGTGCGGTCCCACGGCCGAGGTGCTCTCTGTGGGCTGCTCCGGCCCTTTCCCTGCCCGTCCCTCTCTCCCGTGCCGTCCCACGGCCGAGGGAGGCCTCGCGCGCCCTCAGGGGCCGCTAACGGCGCGCGCGCCCCGGCACGTGCGGGCAGCGCGGGCCCGCGTTCCCGCCGCGCGCTCTCCCATTGGCTGCTCGGGGCGGGGGCGGGGCCGCGCCGTGAGGGCGGTGGCGCTGAGGGGACGGGGCTGCGGTCGGAGGTGGCCGTGCTGCTCCTCTGGGAAGGGCGAACGGGCAGCTGGTGTTTTCCTCCAGGCGATGTATTATCTGTACGTTATTCTCCTCAATGCTGTATTTGTTTGGAGGTATCTAACGTTGGCTCCAGAAGTAAAGTGTCGGTGCCCTCTTGACAAACAGCCTCACTTTTCCCTTACCTGTATCTTAACAATGCTTCGCAACAAACTTTTAACAACACGGTCTTTATACCTGGGAAAAGGTGCCTTAAGTGATTATGATGACTAAGCTCTGCCATCTTGACTGGTGCCAAAGTGCCTGGCTGGCTTGCCGGCTATTTGCCCACTTGTGCCAGTTCCTAAGCTGGGGAGTGACTGCAGAATGGACTCAGGGTTGAGCGAGGGCCTGGCAGAAGTTGCCCTGCCTGGAGCAGCTGATAATCCTCTGGATGTAGGATGGCTGCTCCTGTTACCTGTTGCCTTCTGGCACTTTTGTTACCTGGCATCTCCTTGTGGCAGCACTGGCTTTCCTGCTGCCTCCTGGCAGAACTGGAATGCAACAAAAAGCTAGGAAAGGGAAACTTGAGGTGACCTCAGTAAGAAGGGAAATACCACGAAACTATGTTTTAATTTCTGCTATATCTGTAGCTAAGTGGCAAGGCTTGAGGCATTGGGAGGGGTGCTGAGCTCTATCAGCTGTCTGTGAGCCTGTTTCCAACTAATGGAAAAGGCACTCAATTGGTACACAGGTTCTCTGTAGTTTTCAGAAAGAATGGCTTCATCTAAGACTTGCACTACCTGACTCTCTAAAATAGCTTAATAGTAAATTTAGGTTGTCTTGCTTATGCTGATTCTTAAACTGTTTGGATTTTCTTCTGTGAACTGTAAACATATTAATTACTTTGATAAGTTACATTGACTTATTTTTGTCGTTCTGATTATCAGTTTTATTCTCATTATGACATTACTGGTTTGTTTACATCTATTTTGTGTACCTAAAAGTATGAGATGGGTACTTCATAATTATGTTGGCTTTTTGCATTAATGTGTGATCTATAATGTTTTGGAGCCATTCCATACTGTTTATTCAATTAGTTTGCCTGGTTTGTGTATTAAAAATCTTTCTGCATCTTGGAAAGTAATCTAATTTTCTATATACCAGAAAGATAATCTTATTCTGTAAGAAATTTGACATGATTTTCAATATTCTATTTGTCCAGGCCATAGCTGTTTTTCTTCTGCAGGAGTGGTCAAAGACTCATCAGTGCTTAAAGAGTTTCAGGAGAGCTGTCTTCAGCAATGAGCTTTTTTCTTGAACTGTACAGCTTAAACGCTAATTATACAGCACATGCTTGATGAAAACAGCATATACTGAAGCGTATATCTGTGTAGTAATGCTAAACACAGGAACACCATCACAGAACTCAAAAGAAGGATGCAGTTTTCATCTTGTTCTCAATGAATGGCAGCAGTAATAGGCTGGAAAAGTCATAAGAAAAAGTAACTTGGCTAACAGAAAGTCAATATAGAAACTTTTTTTAAAATTTAGGTGCTTATTTTGGGTATTATACACCTCCTTTTTGTCAGAACTATTTCTTCTTACAATGGAATCAAAATTTGAGATCAGTTTTCATGAGAACTTGTGACACCTCCCCGTGCCTGAAAAACTCTTCAGTTCTCAAACTTGTTCTTCCTACAACCTCTGCCTCCCATGCATTTAAGTCACTCTATTTCCAACAATATGTTATGGCCAAATTTTTCAGGATTTTGTTTTTTGTCAATGTAAAGAGAAGTGGATTGTACTAAAAATATTTGAAAATATGCAGAAACTTGACTGCAAATATTTAGTGGGTCTCAAGATGCAGGTGTTGGAGTTGACTGTTATGAATGTCTGGAATCTTACTGATAGTAAATTTGTAGCTGTGAGAAATGCAAACTTTGTGGAAACTATTTTCCTCTTAGTAGACCTGTTTAAATCAGGGGGAAGGGGTGGGGTGATATAACAATTCTTATCTTCTGACACCGCTTTTCATATTGAATACTAAGAGCTAACTTTTTGCAAATGAATTCTAGGTGATAGAATTATCTTTTCAGTGCTAATGTCTATTGAGTATTTTCTGTACTGACATGTAAAATCTTTTTTTCTCACTTGTATAATTTGACGTCTCTGTACTATTTGCTGCTGTTTTTTTCAGGTAATGTATGACCTTTTAATCATTCCATTGTCTATTTGCTTCTGCACTGGTACTCAACTGTCAGGCTTGGGGCCTTATCCATTGCCTGCAGTTCTGCACCTCATCCACATTTTACAGAAACTGTTGGAATTGCGTGATTCCTCTCCCTTCACTTACGTGCTTGGCAGCAGCTCCTTCATGGGTAGAGCTGTTGTTTTTCCTCTCTACTGAATGTTCCAGCTCTGGCAGTGTCAGTTCCTTCACCAGCCATCTGTCTTGCTGGCTCACTCACTATCTTAACAGCTCTCCTTCTCAGACTAGATGTAAGTCCTAGGGAGTGTGCCATCAGATGTTAATTTTTTATTCAGAAGCTTTTAAAACAGTTGTTGCTGCACACAAATACCCTATATTTCAATCCTCTCTATTCAGTCCTTGGCAATTGGTTGCTTTCTTCAGCCTCATCCTTTTCCAAGGTTCCTTTGCAACTTGTTTGTCTATCACTTCTTTTCCTAAATTTTTAGAGTAATTTTCTTCAATTTGACAACCTAGTTTGCCCCTGAATTCTATCTGGAAAGTGCATGTCTGAATGCAAGGAAGGTCTAGCCCAGTTCTTTTCGTTGTTTCACAGTAACTCTACAATCACTGAAAGAAGCATCAAAGTACTTTCAGATGTTACAGAAGTCAGGTAATAGCTCCTGAGAAGTGTGAGATTGATACCTTTTGTCAATAAGTTAGATAATAACTTCTTTGTGGTGGTATTGGTGTTACAGATGGGATAGATTGTCTTGTAGCTCAGGGGCTGGCATATTGCTAAACAATCTAGCAATCTTTTTGATGAAAAGTTCTATTTGCTTGTAAGCTAGTCAGGTCTAGATGCAAAATTGTTTTATGAAGCCCCAAGAGTATAATATTCCTTATTATAGGAGCAGTTTGTTTTATTTTTGTACTCTATACCTGCTTTATAATCTTCCAATAGCTAAGATTCAGTCAGATAGTGTTGAGAGCTTTATAAACCACTACTTGGGTTAGTGCAATTTCAAGTTAGAGAAATGAATCACACAGATAATAATTTCAATAGAGACATACCAGATTTTTTTTAATATATATTGATAATTCTTTCTCAGACCCTCTGCTCCTTTCCTGGACAAATTCAAATATTGTTTATTGCTAGTACCAGTTAGTCAGCCAAGCATCCGCTCTGGCAGCTGTCCTCATGAAGAAGGCCCCAGAAGATTAAAACTCCTGGGACACTGATAACATGTTAGATGTTACTGTTTGTCATCTTCTAGTTATCTTCCATACTTCTTGTTTCTTAATGATAAAGAAAACTGAGTGTGCTTACAGCAGTAACTAATAATTAGCAAATGGATTTTATTTCCCCACTGTACCTATGACCTCCAGCATAAATTTAGACCTGTCATGTTATGCCTCTAGCGAGGGACTGTCCATCTGAGAAAGGTTTGTTCCAATCTGAACCTTTGCCACTCAAACAGGTCTTCTCCCATTGTGATGCTGTTATGGTGGTAGAAGTGTGTTCTTAATAGATCCCTCTGTTCTGGGCTAGAAAGTTAAAACTGTATTATTATATTGGTAACAGAATTTATGCCAGTATAATAATTCCAGTAGTACAGAATAGTCTTACTAAAAGTTACACAGTGTTGTTCTGGTATTTTTTTGTGCACAGAAAGTGAAAACAGTCAAGTAAGACAGCAGCATGGAAGAGAGTGAGAGTGTTAATTAATTTTTTTTCTGTCTTTCTCTCAGACAAGTCAACTTCCTAATCTCAGGATGTGACTTCCAATAGGAAGGTAGCATAGTGCTAGTCTTTGAGGCAGCAGAAGTTGTCTCCAAAACCCTACTGAGTGAGGTACTCAGGTGTGGTCATGACAAGCCTTATAATTAATCATAACCATGAGAGGCAAACAAATTTGAAAATGTCCAGAAGTCTGCAGCTGTGAACTGGTAACTAATATACTTTTTCTCATTAAGTGAAGCTGTAGATATCTTATGCTAAAAAGAGCAAGTAGTCAAGTCCAAGAAAGCTGGAGACAAAAACTGGTGAGCTACAGCTTATCTTCCCTGCTTGTTACTAGGATATACTCTGTAGTCTGGATTCAAACTAAGCATTATCCTATTAATATTAAGGAGTGTCATCGTTGTTAGGTGAACGTGCTGTCTATGTAAATTTACTGTGCTGGAAATAACATGTAAACTTGCTTCAGAAGAATAAAACTATTCACCAGAATGTGATTGGAAGGGTATTTTAAGAGCAGATAAAATCTACTTACGTGCTAGGCTAGAAGGAGCTAGCTGCTACTTAGCATGCTATTAACTAAAAGGAATCTCAATTAATTCCCTCTGCAAAAAAAAAAAATTGTTAGGCCTTTCAAGTTTTCAAGATTTTGTGCTTTAAGTAATTTCAGTTACCAAAGAGAATTCCTGTTAACAAACCAGTCAAAATTTGAACCAATACACTTAAGGAAGTGTGAAGTGAATAAAAACTTAATTTTTGCATTAGGCTAATAAACTCTTTCCATCATGGAAAATACAGAGGCTTTAGCTTCATCATAGTTTTTACATTGTATTCTGATTAATCAAAACTATCTGAGTAAGTCACACTTCCAGCTGGCAAGACATGCTCATTGCAACCTCCTAAAGTAATAGGAACATCACTGCAGAGTTTATTAATCTTCCATCCTTCTTAAAACAAGGCATGCTGTTCCATTTACGTATAATATGTTCAGTAAGAAGTTAGATTAAGTGACTTTTCATATCCTGTAAAAATGGCTGACATGATACAACTTGTGTTGTGGCACAGACATAAAGACTATGTATAGGAAAGTGCTGAATTGGGAAATCTGGAGCTGAGCCTTGTGATATTGTCAGAAGTAGCTCTTCAGAGGCAGATTATGAAATCAGAGCTTAATCTCTGCTTGACATAGGGTTAATATGCAGCCATTCCAGGGCTGAAGCTGTTTACTGGTTCTTCCATCTGTCAGGATTTTCCTAGCTTTTCTGGAAAAGAAATACATACATTTGAAACTGAGACTGCACAGAGGAAAGCTTTCTTTGAGGCTGTGTTATGGAACCCTTTGGAAGAATTGTAGGTAGCTGCTGGCAGACCACCAGGTGAAAGAGTGAATGGGTGTAATGGAAGAGTTATTTACAATAACTAAACACACTAAAGATCCTTCTTCTCCTCTTTGGTGTGACACTTGAAACTTGTTTGTGTCAGAGAAAATAGTGTGAAAAATAATAGTCAAAAGCATTGAAACAAGGAGAATGATAGACCTGAATGAAGTCTACATAGGGGTTTTTTTTGTTTCTTTCTTTCTTTTAGGACTGGGCTTAGCTTTGTCTTTCTGAGTACTGTTTTGATGTGGAAGATATGAAGAGGAGAATATTGGGCTAAAGCTGGAGGTTCTGGGAAGTGATCAGGAAGCTCGTTTTTAAAAAGTTGCAAATATCTGTCACTCGTGTTATTTGAAAGTTAATAGTTTAAGAAGGAAGCTGAAATGACAAGTTCAGGGCCTCCTCTCATTGAATAAAAATCCTTTTATAGCCAAGATATGCCCATCTATTTACAGTAATATACAACTGGAATTAGGTTTACCAGTCTGTAGTCGCCAGCTTCTTGTGCTTCATTTCCATTGTACATTGTTCTTTCAAAGGAATGCTTATCATATAGCTGATACCCTAGCAGTAACAAGAGTAATTTACAGAATTGCACCTTATCGGCTTTTTTCAGTAATTTTTCCACCTTTGGTGTGGGATTAAGAAAAGTTTCCCCAGGACTAGAAACAAGGAAGGGCTGTTTTTAGACTATGGAATCCTCTTTGCTTTTGCACTGTCTTGCCATGTTCGAAGGGTAACCGCAACTTAAAGCTCTCTAGAGCTCTATCTTGAAAAGGGGATGGTTTGTACATCCTCTGTGACTACCAGGATCCTCATCTCCACTGTATGTCAGCAAAGGATGTATCCACATGCTCGGGAAGTAATTATGCACTCTCATTGTCAGGGTCTCTTCTTCCCTGTCCTTCTCTCTCAAAGAGGCACTAAGGGATTCCAATATGGATTTTATCCTTCTTTCACTCATGGGGACAAGAGAACACAAACTTCTATCCTCTGAATAGATCTACTAACATATCCCAGTCCACAAGGAAATAATAAAATTAACAAGGTTCTTATCTTTCTTCATTTGTCTGTGGCAGTTCTTTAGCTTGGATAACAGACTCCTGTCTATGCTGCGTTTTCTAGACTCTCCCTGTCTTCTGCTCTTCTGCTGGTAGGGTCCTCAATGGAGTTCAGCTTGGAGCTGGATGAAGGATTCTATGGAAAAAGCTATTAAACTCTGATCTCTCATCCCTATGACAGTACTGATTTCACAGAAGTAACTGTGATGAAGGAGACAGGAACTGAGTAGTTTTTCTTCCAGTCTGAGACATTTGAAGTGTTTTGGGGCATACTCACTATTCTGATTATTTTCACTTGTCATTTCTCACCGAGACAGAACTTCTCATTGTTTGCAATACCAATGACAGACTGTTCTGCTTAGCGATATGGGAAGGGTGGAGTAACCTGTACAGAAAGCTGCAGCCCCTCAACAGATAGCTGCTTATTTTTCTTAAATAATTTTTCTCTTCCCAGAAAGGGTTAAACTCAGATTTTCTCCATCCAGTAACTGCTTAGTGAAGAAAGAAAAGAAAGTTGCACAACTTCCTGAAGCAAGTGATGATGAATTTTTCCACTAGCCTCTTTGTAGTTACCCTAAAGGAGTCTATAGATTTTTACCCCTTTCTCCAACATGGTTGTATCAATGTTTTGAGTAAGTGAAGGGAATAAAGTGACTACTTAATTCTTCTTTTGGCAAAGAGGAGAGAGATTAAAGCAAGACGTCCTTGCTTAAAAGTGAATAGATTCTACTGTACTTGAAGCACAGTATAGGTGGGAAAGAACTAAAAAAACACCAAAACCTGTATTGAAGCAAGAATGTTAATCAATGTTAACTCATTTAGAAATAGTTAAGAGGGACAGATGGAATCCAGTGATTCTGTCTCTCTTACATGAGTAATTTCTAAAATATATTAAAAGCTGGTGTACTTTTCAGTGACAGATATGGCTTGTCATTTTAGAGGTTATTTTTGCTATTGTTAACACTGAAATAGATTGTGCTTGAGTAACAGTAGTTGACAGAAGTCTTAACTACCTCAGAGAAAATAGTTGTCTTGCATTTATTAGCTCGGCTTTCAGGTTTGAGGAGCTGTATGTGGTTAAACTTTGAGATTATGTAACAGTAATAGAATCTTGTTCAAGTTGATGCCTTTTAGAATACAAGGGAGCGAGGGTGAGGAGTGGGGGGTGTGATTGTGCAGTAAACCCACGTTAAACTCTTTCCCCCAGTGTATTCTCTGAGAGAGCAGTGAGGCCCCCGAACAGAGCCCAGGCCATGCTCTCTGCAGTTGGCACTGAACTCATCGTGCACCGGGGGGATTTTTCCCTTGGGATGGTAAGGGTCAGCTCACATGCAGAGTGCTTGCTTTCTGCTCTTTAAAAATATTTTTAAACCTTAAAGTTGTAGCACAAGATTCAAGCCTGAGAGATTGCTCAGTCTCCCTCACCTTCACGGAGATTTTCTCTAACCATAAAGTTGCTTGCTCCTGCTTTGACCCAAGAGGATATTTGCTGGTCACTTCACTAAGGGGTGGCAGCATTCTGCTGCTTTTAGAGTGAAAGCTGAGTGACTCTAACAGGGCAAGGGTGAGCATGATTAAGTCAAGAATCATCAAAATCTGGTGACTTCCCAGTGGATAAATACAACCTTATGTGCAGGGCTTGCCCCATGTCCCATCATTTTCCTCTTGCCTCCATCCCAAGCACTAGAAACAAAGCTGAGTAGAACTTAAAGCAGGAAAATCTTATATTCATTGCAATTCTGCATAGATTCTGTTCCCAAACTACATATTTCTCAGGAACTAGTTGTTCTAAACAAAATAAAATGGAAGTGAATATTTCTGCACAAATCTTTGTCAGCAGTGTGTTGTCAGCTCAAATTATGGACTGTCCCTCTTTACAGCAATGTCACAATTCAACCATAGTCTAACATTTTGCCAGAATTTAGAGTGACTTTGACCTGTGAGACATAAAAGTACATGATTATAGCAATAATGCCTGAAGTGAGGTTACAGTTTTCTTCTGTTTACTCCTGAATGTTGAGGAGAACATACTACAAATGCTTAAACACTACAGTTAAATATTCGTAAGTTAGAAGCTATACCTTCAAAAATTGCTGAAAATATCACTTGCTACTTGAAGGAAGTTATTTGGATTACTTCTTTTGAGTTAGCAGGCCCTCTCTTGTGAGAGGAAGCAATTCAGTAATTGCTTAAATGCACATTGCGTTGTGCATTTAAATATCTTCTTTGAAGAGTAGACTTGGGAGTATCATATAAGAGTTTAGAGGCATTTATGGGCATAAGTAAAATCTAGTTATGTTTAATGCCAAGCATTGCTAGAATTCAAGCAGAGAATTTTTACTATACAATACATAACATTATTTTTTCTCATTTTAGAATTGTAGAAAATACGTAGGCCATCTCAGCCACAATCCAGGGAACAAAAGACCATATTAAAAAGATGTTTTGGCAATACAAGGTGCTTCGGTTCTCCTTAATAAAGGTATGTGTCTTGTCATTCTCCCTCATATAGATAGCAGTAAAAAAAGTCTTTGCTTTTCAATAGCACATGTTGATTTTTAACTATAGCATTTTTGTACAGATTGTGCTTATAAGGATTTTTTTTAAGCCTTTTGTTACTGTATAGTGTTGTCATAAGCGTGGCTCTAACGTTAAAAATATATCCAGGTCAGGTTTTCGTGCAAGCCTTTTTGAAAAATAGACTTTTACTTAAGTGTAATGGAAACATTTCCATGACTTCAGCAGTCTACTGTAGAAGTTAAAATAAACATTTCCACAAAGAAATTGCAACTTGAGATTTAATGTACTGTCCTGAATGCATGATAACTGGGAAAGTTGCAGTGGATCCTACATCTGAAAAATATTGATTGTCTATTGCCCAAGCTGACATGCAAGTAATTAGCATAAATGTTCTATTTGCAATAGCCTTTAGCATAAACAATGTCAGGGGACACACGTGTCATTTTTAGTATATTTTGGGCAGACCAGATCGTTGGCTCTATTAAAAGCTGCCCCAGCTTCATTAGTACGAAGCAGCTTTGTCTTTGTCCTGACTGACCAGGTAGAAACATGAATGTGGCAGCAAGCCCAGAGTCTGGGTTTGTGAATTATAGCAGTGTAGGGGTGTGGTCAGAGCATGCTGCTTGGCTTCTCAGATATTTGAGTGGCTTCTTGAGGGCTATTACAGCCAGCAGCAACAGAAAATATACTGCTGAAATGTCTACAGTGTCCTTCTGCTATTAAGCCTCTTATTCCTACCCAAAAATGAGAACCTATTTTAAGGTTTAACAGTGTCCTTTTAAATTAGAGGCAAACTGCTCCAGGGAGATATTCAGAGTGGGTTAGGCAGTGGATACCATCACTAAACAGAGCTAGATCTGTTAAGATCAAAATGGTTGACTTGTCACACTATAGTAATTGTTCCCTGTGGAAAAAATTCAATAGCACTGCTTAAATCACACACAGCTGATCACGTGCTCTGAGGCTTTGCTGGTGCTTAGACTAAAAGGCAGAGGTAGGGAGGAGCTGTGTCAGGAAATCTTGTCATTCTGCTGGGGAGGGGGGAAGCTTGCCTTGCATACAGTCATGTGCACAAATTGATTTTTAATTTTACACTAACGCACTATTATAATTGTTAACTCGATTATTCCTAAAAGGCTGCAGACATTATGGTTATGCCCCTGCATGTCCAAGGTACCTGCTGGGAGGAGAGCTTTTGGATGTGCAATGACAGTCAGATAGTACCCAAACTGTTCAACTTCTTTTTATTACAGTAAAGCACAAAATCTGTTAATCTGCAGCCTATATAAGACAAATTGAATGGATGCTATCTTGGAAATGAATTACATACCTGAACCTTAATCACTGGTTTAAAAAAAAAAAATCCTAGTCAATGAATATAAGAAGTACTATGTTTCTATCCAGACTGGAGAATCTCTAATAACATGGGAACTGGTGCTTTTAGACAGTTGCCTTACTGCTCCTAGCAATTGTCTTTCTGGCTCTTTTTCTGGTTTAATACATGACATAGTAACATGAGGTGCAGGGGATGCCTCAGACACAAAGAAATTCTAGATACAGAGCAGAAGTGAGTTAAGACGAAGCGCTAGGAGTATACTAATTAGATTGTATTTGGTATTCCAAAGGAAGCAATTTTTTAATCTTATTTGGTTCTTCGGTTTCTTTTCAAAACCAGCACAGAAACTGTGCAAATCCCTGGTCTGGCTACAGGCAGTCTCTTAGGTTAAACTTTTCTCGCTGTCTACACCCAGGAAGAGTGCTGAGTTTCTGTTTTGCCAGCCTCCCCCTTTCCATGCCACACTGAGAAATTTTAAGTTAACCCAAATTATCAGCATCACAAAAGGGGTACAGCTGCATGCTACTCAATCTAGGGTAAAATATAGTCTTTTGATAGCTGAGGAATACTCACTGATCCTGTGACAACAGTAGCTACTACAGTACAAGCAGTTAAGAACACTTGCTGCTTGATTATGCACATTTAATAGGCTTGCTCAATTCACTATTCATCACCCAGCACTAAGAGGAAGCCTGAAGCATCAGGCATAGCAGCACAATGCTTGGCTGTAAATGACTTCATGTAGGATGCAACTTGTCATTTGGCCTTAAATACAGTGGGATTTTTTCCTCGCTTTTTCTGAAACCTCTTCACAGAAACACTGTGTCTGCTACACTGTCTCTAACCCTCTGCTGCTTGTCCGAGCTTGGTGAGGCTGGGGATCCACACAGAAATAAGTAAGAAATGATTGCTGTGCAAAATTTATACAAGCATTACAGTTAAGGAGGGTACTCAAGGAAACCATTTTGCAGTCTTGACTATAGCACTACCTTACCTGTATGACAAACACATCTTTTCCACCACTGAACCATGAGAATAGGAACAGGATTCCACGAGCAAATGAATATTATTAGGGTTTTTTTTTTCCTACATCTAACTAAGCACAGATATTTGCAGCTAACCAGCCACCCCGCTCTTCCTTTCCCCACTCCCCGGAAATTAAAATGACAAAACTACTCAAAAAGCATATGCACGGCACCGCTTTGTTCCCCGCGCTCGCCTCGCGGGGCTCGCTCCCCTCCACACCACTCGCGCCTCCGGCAGCCGCCGGCTCTCGGCTCGGCCAAAGCCCCCGGAGCCGGCGGCTCGGAGCAGAGGGCGGCCGGGGATGCGACGCGGAGGGGCGGGGAGGGAAAGGCTTTACCTGCCAGGGGCGCCTGGAGCTGCTGCATCGGCGGCGGGGCGCGGCGGGCGGGCACTCAGAGCGCCGGGGCCATCGCCGCGCCGGGAGCGCCGGGGAGGGACCGCCGCCGGAGCCTGGGCGAGCCGCGGGCACACTCAGCACCGGGGCGCTGAACAGCTCCACGGAGCGCCACGGGCGGGGCCGGCGCCGCGCTCCCGCC